GATTGAGGGAAAGTGAACTTAAAATGGCGATGGACTGATACTTTTCAGTAAAAAGTGAAAGTGATTTCCGGTCTGGAACTTTTGCTACTTTTAACCGGCGTATTATTTGCTTTGGATGAACTGCTTATAAGACTCTTTTATAATTGGAAATTTATTGATAAAATGGCTTCGAGAAAAATTGTGCCTTCAACTTTAAAATCGACTACATCTCCGATGTCCCAGACACTGCAATCAACTTCTAAAACTCCTCATCAGCCAGCCCCGCCATCTTCTTTATCCCCACCGCCTTCTAGTAGAGAACTGCAGGACCTGATGTCTGTAACTATTAAACAAATGACTGAGATGTTTCAAGCGATGGATGTTAAAATGCAAAATAGATTTGATCAATTATCACAACAACAGGATTTATCACAACAACAACAGGATTTATCACAACAGCAACAAGACCTGTCACAGAAACACGAGGATTTTTGTTTGAACGTGGCAACTGCTTTTAAAGGTTTGGCTGAATATGTAGATGCGGTGGCAGAAAGGGTTGAAGAGAATGAACAAAAAGCTGAAGCAAGTGACCATAGACTTGAACTCGTAGAGGAGAGTCTGGAAAACGTTAAGGGTGATGTGTTGATTGCCCAATTTCGTGATATGGAGTTTGCAATTCGGATCCGTGGGTTGGCTGAGGACCCAAAGGAGAATTTAAGACAGGTAATCGCAGACGCACTTGGGGATGTGCTGTCTTGTGGTCAGGAAATTTATTTGGAAATAGAGCGTGTTTTTAGGGTGAATTCTTGGATTGCTCGCCAAAAAAAATTGCCAAGAGACATTGTGGTGTATTTCACAAGAAAATCGAGACGAAATGAGATAATGCAGCTCTTTTACCAACAAAGATTTAAGATTTTAAACCAAGATATTATTCTTTTAAAAGAAATTCCAGCGAAAATACTCAGAGCGCGCCGAGACTACGCCTTTTTGACACAGGAGCTTAAGAACAGACAAATAATCTTCAGATGGGACATACCGGTGGGCATTGTTGTAACATTTGCCGGCAAACGCTACAGACTTAACTC